CAGGGGTGTCAAACTCAAAAGCTAACTTGGGCCAAATAAACAATGCTTAACTTCAGGTGGGACGCAAAAAAAAAATCAATGTTCATAGAAACAAATATTTTTATTTTGAATTGTAATAAACATATATAAAGTTAAATTATTGTTTACGTCCTGATACTTGACATCTCTTCTCTGCTATTATATTTTCTATTTCGGGAGAAATTTTATTGGCCGAGACTACTTTCAAAATTGACCCAACGTGAGCGTTATCAATAAGGTTTCGGACAGGAGATTTATTTCCATTCATAACAGAAAATAATTGCTCTCACTGATAAGTACTTCCAAACTTGAAAATAATTTCATACGCGAATTTTCGAGTATTTTCAAACCTTGCTGGTAAATATTCGTGAAATTTAGGCACACCCACTTCAATGAATTTTGCCTTCAAATTTGAGTCGCACTGCATCTCAATCACTTCCATTAGCACAGTGATTCTCAACCACTGTGCCGCGGCACTTTTGTGTGCCACCAAATTCTAAAAATGTGCCGCCAAATATTAGAAATGATACAATAAAAATTATAATGCTTTTTTTTATTACGAGTAAAGTTTAAATTAAAGAAAAGTGTATATATATAAAGTGTTATATAAATATATACACATTTTATAATTTTTCCTTGCTTTAACCGTGTGAACATCTTTGTCGGCGATTGTCTTGTCTCTGACAATTTAAAAAAATGGTGAAATAAGTGGGGAATTTAATGATTATTAAAATTATTAATTAACAAAGGAAAGCAAACTAAATAGTGACTTTCAAACTTAAATAAAAGCTAATCATTAAAGTGAGTTATGCAATTATAAGTTATAAAAACAAATTAACAAAGGAAAATTAACCAAAAAATAAGCTAACAATTAATAATCAGCAAAAAAACTAGTTGACAAGAAATCACAAAAATAACAGTTAATCGCTATAGAAAACAAGCTAACAATTAATAACTAGTCAAAAAAAAAATAACTGTTACTAACCAATAAAAGATTAGTCGAGAGAAATAATTAATCCCTTAATAAACGTGCTTTTGTATTACATATTATTTTATTTCACATTCAAAATTATTATCACAAACTATTGAACGCAGTGTATTATAGGTATGTAAACTTTTAAACAAATTTTTTTAATTGTGTGCCATCAAATTTCGAAATTGTTAAAAGTGTGCCGCCCCAAAAAAAGGTTGAGAATCACTGCATTAGCATATAACTGGGTACTAAGTCTATATTTATAGAGAAAATCCAAGAAAACAAACAAAATTAGTCTTCCAAAGAATTAAAATCTTTAAACCTTGTTTCAAATTCTGTTCTAAGATTTGAAATTTTTTTCTGCGTATTTTTGATACGATGCAGTATCATCTAAACTAGATTCGTTCTTGTTGCACGTTAGGAAGTGCGTTAAATCTTCATTTTTCAGTTGCCTTTCCCAAAGAAATAGTGTACATTTGAATGCTTTTTTAATTATGTCAAACATGTTCGTAATGATCTGATCCTTGCCTTTAAACAATAAATTTAAATCGGATCAGTGTTTGGTTATATCAACCATAAAAGATAAATCTTGCAACCATATTTGATCAGAGAACAAGCTTGTATCTTGATTTATAGTTTGTTAAAACTTGCATATTTTTTCTTTCAAATCCCAGAATTGATTGAGAACCTTGGAGCAAGATAACCAACGCTATTATAGGATAAACCTGATTATGTTTTATCTAATTGATAGCTTAGTGTGAAACGGACTCCATTTCAGCAAATTCGAATTTTACATTTTCGAGCGGACAATTTAAAATGGTCCGTATAGTTTATAAATAAAGTATATTATAGTTTTATATGCTGGTTTCGTTTCTAATTCACATCTCCATTTTATTTTTACTTTCCTTCGGATATATTGACTGGGCCACAAAAAATGTTCATCTCGGGCCGCATGCGGGCCGCGAGTTTGACACCCCTGTTCTAAAAAGTAGTGTGGTTGTAGTGTTTGTATTTTGTGTATGTTCTTGTTCGTCATTAAAAT